TATGTACACAAAGCACCGCTAATTAGTTCGAGGCGCTACACATCGACATTACTATCATTTACACAGTGAACATGTGTGGGTAATTTCATATTAATAGATATGTATAGAAACATTCGTTCTATCACACACATCTTGGTATTACATATCATTTTTGTGTCGGTATACGTAATATTTTAGTAAATAAGTTTAAATAAAAACGAGGGTAAAGATAAAAATACTCATAACAAACTTTGAATAAATCGAAATCAAAAATAATGAACGATCGAGCAATACAATACTTATATAAATATAGTGCATTCTCATTGTATTTTTATGTTACTGAATGATATACAATATTTCGATGTTCTCATCTACGGCGCGCTTGGCGCAATGGTTATCGCCTCCAGTGGTCAAGTAAAGTGCCACCGGATCGATTCCAGCATTCACATGTTGTTTTAGTATTAATTAATCAAATATTTGAAATGTGAAATTAGAAACAATTAAATCTTTTCTTTTTTTCCTATCCTATTTTTCTAAATCTTATGTTAATTTTAATAGTAAATACTTTAGATTTATTTATACCTATAATATCCTTTATTTATATTTTAGTTCTAGTTATTTATTATTTAGAATAATTTAGAATGATTGGAAGAACTTTAAAGTTAACATGTGGTATATAATTAATTATTAGATATAAATATTGAATATAAAACCACATATTTGTATAATTAATAAATTAATTTTAATAAAAAATAGTATTGTTTTATTTACCGACTGATTTGCTTCTTTTATAGCCTGATATTTATATTATATGACAAAAAACAAAAAAAAAATAAATAAGAAAAACAACAAGGTAAAATAAAAAAAAACTTTTAGCTGGAATAGAACCCACATCATCATTGATCCTTGAAAGACGATAAAAGCGTACTCATTAACCAATCGACCACGAGCACTACGATAATTACAGTGAAAATGTCGGGTCATATCAATGATTGTAAATAGTTTTAACCTTACCCATGCATTAAATTATAAAAAATACGTAGGTATACCGACACAAGAATGAAAATACCAATGTGAACGTGGTGGACGAATATTTTTATACACAGTAATATGAAATTACCCACACATGTACATTGTGTAAATGACAGTAGTGTCGATGTGAGCGTTACGAACTAATTAGCGGTGCTTTGTGTACTTACGAGGTTTCGGGCGCGATAAGTCGATCTAGATTTCATTTCTAGAAAATGTCGTTTAATAAAAAAAAAACAAATAAAGCTCGGTCGTTCAGGTACTATATATATACTATACATATCGCATATAAATATAGGTATATTATATACATCGCATATAAATGCGAAAGTAAGCGAGTTTGTTTATATGTATATTACTCAATCATGTTAAAACCGCCAAAGGAATCGGTATGAAATTTGGAACATATGTAGGTGGCTAATGATCTGGAATAATATATAGGCTACTTTTTATCGCACGGAAACGTGTGTGAAGCAGTCTGACATAATTGCTAGCTTAAATAGGAAGAATAGGAAGTTATATCCTTTGTCAAATAAGAAGTGTGATGAATCTAATAGTAGGTTTTAAAACATACATACATATCTCAGAAATTGTAATAATTTTTAGGTAACGGAGGTTTCTGGGGCTTACCCTATGCATAGATTGGAAAAAAGAGAGAAAAATAGACTATCATGTATATTAGTTCCACAGTACCTACCAACATAACACTATTTCGGCATAAAATCGTTACAGCACATCAATATTTAACTATTCTTTGTCATTTAAAAGGCCTATCGTAACTGAGTAAACATAGCCAGGCATGCCATGAGAATCAGTGCCTTTTACGCCATATTTGACCACTACCTGTTCCCTCTTGTATGGCTACTCCGACGTGAGATAAGGGTTAAAAAAGAGGAAGGGAAAAAACCATTTTCTATGTTATCGCTACCATCAGTTATCTGTCTTTCAATTGGTGCATATTCACCGATAGGAATAGAGAAGATATGGAACGCAATAAACGAATTGAAAATTTGAAATGAAATATTTCATCCGCGTTCATTATGTTGTAATAAAACCACCACTGGTTTACTTAATGTGGCATTTTATAGAAGAATTATTCGATAGACATGAAAGGTTTCTGCTCCTGAAAAGCAAATGTGGAAATGCAGTCAATCTTTTGTAGTAACCCGTTGATATCCAATCCCCTAAATTTGGTAATAGAAAAGTAGTCTCTAAACATTAGAAATAAGGTCTATAATGTAATGTAATATTAGTATATTAGTGGAAAGCGGTCACCGGTGACCGCTTGGGGATTTATGGGGTAAAGTGGAAAATATAAGTGTTTTATTTCCGCATTTTACATACCTAATTAAAAGATTTTGTTTTGTTTCAGACGAATGTTCCCCGTAGTCAAAGTAACAGCCAGTGGCTTGGATCCGACGGCGATGTACACCGTGTTACTAGAATTCGTGCAAGTCGACTCCCATCGCTGGAAATATGTTAATGGAGAATGGGTATGTGTTCCAAATTCAATTCCAATTCTAAATTTTAGTTAGGATAACATCCAATAACCGTTAGTCTTGTTAAACTTTGGGCCTCCTCTTCATAAGAAGGGTTTTCCATTATTCAGATTTATCAAAGAGTGCTGCTGCCTGGCTTTTCTTATATGTGCAATCCGTTAGCTGGCTTGATAGTACTTACCTAGTAACAAATGTGTTATTCTTTATCGTAATCACACGGCATCAGTAGATTTCGTTCATTATTTATATTATCATCATATATATTATTATCATTTTACAATACAATGTCTATAGAACTTATTTTTTTATTAATTCCTAGGTACCTGGCGGCAAAGCAGAAGTGCCTCCATCGAACGCAATTTACATACACCCGGAGAGCCCAAACTTTGGAGCACACTGGATGAAAGAACCGATATCCTTCGCTAAAGTCAAACTTACGAATAAAACAAATGGAAATGGACAGGTACAGTAAGAAATTTATGAGAATTATTATTTTATTTAAACTTGTAATAGCCCAATATATTTTCGTGTGATCTAAGTCTAAGTAGATACTTTTTATTTTTCCTTCATGTTGAATTTCTTATACCTAATTAAGTACAAACAAATTGAAAAAAAAAATGAATAACCCGAAAATGTTTGAGCATTTCAACATTGAAATCGTCAATACCTGGATTTTTTATTTGAATAGACTGTTATAGCACAAACGAAACAAAGTTTACTGTGAAACTGATGAAATTCCACCTTTAACTAGTTATTTGACGGTGAATGAACGAGAACTAAGATTTTATGTACTAATGAATACAACTATTTATAATAAATCAAGATATAGGTAGGTATAGGTTATATCTCTGTACATTTAATAGCTCAATAACACCGACTGCATAAATAAAAGTACGTTTGCGAATCAGACGTCTGTTTACGAGATACTTTGTAGAGTTTACTACGAGCGTTTAACTACATTGTTTCTCATAAGCATAAATGAGTTTCGAACAGGATAAACACAAATTACGGATTCAATATTTATAGCGGGATCTACGCCAGATTATGTGCCTGACCGAGCATAATAATTAATTAGTTCACAGTATTGTCAGAATAGTAATTTTATAACAGAAAGCTCTCGCTGCAAGGTGTGACTGTGCTACAGTTTCGTGGCTACCGCTATCGCCAGTTCGGAGAAGCGAGTTCTCACGGTTGTATGTGGTGCGAATGAATATGAAAGCAAACATCTGATACATCTAGATCCATATGTTGACGGCTCGGTGTGAAATCTGTAGCTTTACCAACTGTTTAGCGGGTGTCTGTACGCACTATCATTTGTAATAATTATTGTCTCTGCGCTATGTTTACATTACACATATCTTAAAAATAAGCAGATGCCCCCTGTGGTCGTTATGTTAACACCACTCATGTAGACGTCTCATTGCATTTCAATTATAACATTATATCTTCGACGCGTGGCAGCATTACGTTTCCTCTTTGTGCTAAGAAAATTGTTTCGTGTGCCAGCATTTGCTTATTTTATTACTTTTTGGTTTCAGATAATGTTAAATAGTTTGCATAAGTACGAGCCCCGAGTGCACCTTGTAAAAGTCGGTACCGATCTCCGACGAATAATGACGTACCCATTCCCGGAGACTCAGTTTATAGCAGTCACAGCTTACCAGAATGAAGAGGTGACTTCGTTAAAGATAAAATACAATCCATTTGCGAAAGCTTTCCTAGATGCTAAAGAAAGACCCGAGGGTTATTATCAAAGAGATTTTGTGGGCACGCATTATCCTCAACAAAGTTCTTCGCCACATCAGTATCCTCAATGTGAGTAGTTTTTATTTTTTAACCGTTGAATAACGTATAATCTGAAAATTGACTTAATTTAGACACCTAAGTTGAAATATGGCTCTACTCGTTTCAAACATCACCGGGATGCATATTTACAGCCTGTGCGGCGTGGCTATGTAGCACACCTAAACTTTTCTATACATATTATCTATGTATTTTACGCGAGTAAGCTGTATAATTTACTATTATTTTACTTACTTATGTTTTAATAAAATACTTACAAGTGTAGAATCTCTTAATTTCATGAGTTCGTCCTAGGAACTTTTATCAAAATCTTTAATATCAATATTTATTTATTTTCCAGTCGGTGGATGGTTTGTGACTTCCCAGTCGTTGTATGGGAGCAGTAACGCAGCGTCAAGAAGACCGGCGCCCTATCCCCCGCGACCACCGTCACGGCCAAGAACATTGTCACCGCCTTGTAAGTTCATAGATCTTTTTCGTTACTATAAAGGTTTTTGTAAAATAAAAAGAGGAAGAAGGCTTGAGAATGAGTGATTTCTTATGCACTTAATTCTTGTCTATCATTGGATGTTACGCAAATCTCTTTCTGTGTTATGAAATCTGTTAGTAAACGCATAATAACATATTGATATATCCACGGTACCTAAGTAATCGAATGACAGTTAAAATTGATTTTCATTTTTATTCAACAGCCTCATACAGCAATTCTGAACGAACGACAACTGCGACGAATGGCACCGGCAGTTACACTTGGGTCAGCAGCAGTGGCTACTGGAACTCCACACAGGGCAGCAGTTCTCCACAGCCGAATACTTCCCCAGCTCCATACCGCACCCCTCCTCATGCATACCCGGCGCCTTTGGAGTATGCACCCGCACCCCCTACTAGCACATCAGCGCCATCATCAGCTCCCGCACCACTCTACCCTCTTCAATACGAAACTCCAGCGCAGCATCATTCCCCGTATTACCAACATGCTTACGCACCGTACGCGCATCATGCGATCGAAGATATTTCTTATTGGCCAAACAGGTTAGTAAATAACATAATAGACTAGCAATCCATAACTGAAATATAAAGTAGTCACTGGATTTCTACGTTATTTACTAGGTCATGATTTATACTTTTACACAATTAATTTAATCATTGTATTTTCAGTTTGAACAGCTACGGCTATCAGCCATCTGAGTATGTCGGGAGTGGAGAAGTGGCATATGGTGCCGAGGGCATGCCTTTCGGGCCTACTGGGCCTTCTCTCGAAGCCGCCGCAGCCGGTGAAGGTCGTGCCACGCCCCCCGGACAGGAACACCCACAAAGCGAACGAGAATACAAGTTTAGCGCCGAAGAAGAACGTCAGTCGCCGTGTGATGAGGCCGCACTACCACCACGTTCACCAGCGCAGTGACCATCAACCTAGTTCATAAGATAGTTGCAAATAATAAGGATCAATTGCGAAACCTTCTAAAATATATTTTTGTATTTTACGATTTTTAAGGTTGAAATTGGAGAAAATATTTTATCTAGGTACTACGTAGATGTATTGCGTTATTCCCTTTTGAGAGATGTGTATATATTATACTAGAAGATTTAATAATGTATTTCTAAAATAAGTTTGGAATTCATAAGAGTGGATAAATAATACGTAATGTAATAGTTCCAATTTATTGTAAGTATTTTTTGCACTTTGTTACATAGATTTTCATTCACATACCCATTTAAATTGGATTGCTTCACGATTTACCCAGTACCTAAACAGTCACAATCAGTGTTCCAGGTGTGACTTTTTATAATTATGGACTTACTTGAGTGTTGACTAATACAAATTGGCGAACAATTGGTAATGAATTGGGTAAAATGTGGGTAGGAAGGTACCCATTTTCCTACAAATCTTAGCTATTAAATTAGCGTCCCTTGCAAGAAACCAACCCGTGGCTATCGCTGTTCTAATCACGAAATAGTATTTGGCTTTTTCAATAAATTAAGAATGTAAAATTTAGCAGATCAAATTGTGTAAAGCGCAAAGAAAAATAGCTTTTGCGATGTTGACAATAAATCATGTTTCTGTTATGACACGTATTTTTATTTAGTTACACAATACCTACGTCTCAATGCGATAAATAATAAAATACTTAATAAGTAGGTACTTACGTGGGTACCTATGAACTTGCTACCTACCTAAAATAAAAAAATATTTTAGTCTGAAGCACACTGTGCCGGCGGAATGTATCAAGTTGCTGGCCGGTCAATTTGACTGCAAAGTGAACCTTTAAGTAATAGGTGCAACCAAACAAAACAAGATAGGTGACAAAAATACTGCCCTGACCATAGCACACTGTTTACTTCGCTGTTAAAAATATTGTCTTGTACATCTATGTACTTGGCACCATACCTTCTTATCACGACGGCTAATATCTTGAGGTGGGTATACGATGTCGGTAGATAATAGTTTAGTAGTAGAGAATAAGTTTACATTGAAAATAAATATTAATGAATATTTTATCTTCATCTCTATATTTTGAGTAAATTATTTGTTAAAATACTACCAATTACAAACTTTTTGTATCACATCGTATTTGGGCATTGATCCCACGACGATTAATTAATATCATTAATGTTAGCACATGTGATGTGCCCGACAGGGTCCATAGTGATCTGTATACATTATTCTATGTTATCACTTAAGTAAAACATTGTGGAACGCAATAAAGAATTTGAATTTGAATTCAAATATCTTCTTCCATCGAGGATTATTATAGAAGATTTCTAGACTTTTTAGAGTGTGTTCGTGGTGTGTTCGTACTTGACTAGTGGTGCAGCAAAATGTACCATAGTGCCGATATTATGAAACCAAAAAAACCCACACCTATTGTCTATGAATTTAGTTGCGTTGTTTTTGTAATGGCAATATATAGACTGTCAAAACTTTACCTATGTCAATGTCATTACCTCTGATGTCAATGACCCTGACTCAAACAGTCGAACTCGAAACGTCAATCAAACAAAAAGTCATAACTTTCGCGCGTGTTATTGAAGAAATCTACAAATGGAATCTACTGTGTCGGTTTCTAAGGTAAATAGACATTTCTTTTACAAGTTTTGTGTAGCAATCAGAAAGTATTATGTACAGATACCAATTTATTTTAATAATTTTAAATATAAGCTGGTAAGTAGACACATCGGGACATTGTTTTGGGACGCTTTATAAACACTGATTACTACACTTTGATGTTTGCACATTCAATTATGAGTATTCGTTATTTCTGTCTTATTAATGATACATTAATGATTTCAAATAAGTTGATTAATAACTGAACCACATTATAAACCGTACTACTAAACCTAGAATTTCAGCAAACGAACATTACTCGGTAATTTTCAACTATTGAAGCCTTATTGTTAAGTATATTAATGTTTGTAACTTGAGAATAAAATACATATTAAATAATATAAAACCATTTATATTGTGAGGTACATAGAGTAAAAATATTGTTGACTAGAGCTAAATAAATAAGTAAACAAGTCTAATAACCTGTTCTCGAATTTCATTTATCTAATAGTTATAAGTAACTTGGCGTAAAAATCTTTTTATTTAGCAGTAGATAGGTTATATAGGTGTGTATTTCTAATTTCCTCTTTTCTTGCCTCTTGCTTATTGTCTTTTCAAGAAGAATCTAAGATCATTCTACATATTATAGACTAAAGTTTTTCTTTTTATTTAGTAATGTAATATTTCCCTATTATGCATGCTGTGTTCACATCTGTGAAATATGATTGTATGTGTGATTAAGATTTATTGCTGTATTTGATATGTATGTTTGATTGTATTGTATTTTTTTTGAACCAAAAAAAAAAAATCAATTTTAAAACCTACTGGGAATGGGTACAGCTTCTAGTTGATGTTGATTTAATGTCTTATTTTTCACTGTTTCCAGGGAGTTTTCCTGTTCCCAAATGGATATAAAAAAGGGAAATCTAATAAGAAGAAAAACAATCAAGTATTATTCGAAAAGATATTTAGGAATGAACTTTGGTACGATACATACAAACAGAACTGGTATTACATTGAAAATGAACTGCAGGTAATTGGAAAGCCCTTTCAGTATAAGTCAGCATTTATTATAAGAATTTGAATGATGATTTAATAATCCTATTATAATATATCAATATTATATTTGTAAAATCTATGTTGGGTGTTAATTACAGTTTTAAAAACCTGCTGAATTTATGTGAATACTTTATTGCAAGTCTAGATAAGTGTTTGTATTAAAACATAGACTATGTTTCATTATTTTCATTAAAAAATACAGGTACGGGCTTTGACAGAAGGTAATTAGATTGAAAAGAACTTAATTATATCTAGGGTAAACCAACCAAAAACAAGAAAAAATTGCTCTAGTCCATAACGCTGTTTTTAGCACTGGCCTGTTTAATACCTTTGGGGCCTACTACCCCTACACCCACCAGATAAGCCAGCGTGGGCGTCTCGTTCTCCGTCTTATAGAGAACTAGTGACCCGCCCCGGCTTCGCACGGGTGCAATATGCATGTATTATACATACAAACCTTCCTTAAGAATCTATCTATTAAAAAAAACCGCATCAAAATCCGTTGCGTAGTTTTAAAGATCTAAGCATACATACGGACATACAGCGAAAGCGACTTTGTTTTATACTATGTATTGATAAGCTAGTGTCAAGCCAGTATCCATTATTAGTAATTATTATACTTTTTTCTAATTTACAGGAACTCCATCATAAAACACATAGTGTATTGCTGAATGATATAGTAAATTACATCAAGAATCATGGAATCAGTGAGTCATCAACTTTGGAAGGAATCATTCCTAGTGCCACTCTGTTGACTGGAGTCAATCAACCAGACCATGTATCTCAATTCACATCACTTATTGATCTTATTAGGTAAGCTGTGTAAAGAGATAAAACAAAAAGTATACCATTATACTGTATTTCATGTAGTTTTATAGGGTCTTCTATTTGCCAGAAACTAGTAAATAAAATTATGCATTTCGATTTCTGCCATATGCCAAACAAGTTTCTGCGAATTGGAGATTATGCAATTCATTGTTATGTGAAATAATTGTACAAAAAATCTGCCTTAACCTCTTGAATATACAGGCATATAGGAGACACAATATAAAACACATTGTGTCTCGCGTGGTTCCACGTTTAACCACACGACAGGTTAAAAGGTAGACCCATTTTAATACATATAACTATTTTAGAATATTTTTTTTTGTACACACACAGTTTTATTAGTTCATTAAGGAGTAGGTATTTAATTTAGTATAATAATAGCTAACATGCTGTTTTTGTATTTAATCAATTGTTTTTTTTTATCTGCATATGCAGATATATAATATAATTTAATAAAACTATAGTATAGCTGAAATATAATGGTTACATGGTTTATACAAGTTATATTTGTGCAATGTTTCAGAAATGAAGTGACTCCACATGTTGCTTTAGTCAATTCACAAGATGCACCCAGTGTGAAACATCTAGTAGAAAATGCTGTTTGGCAGCTAATTCATGGGGATCAAGTAATGGTAAGGATCAATCATATCAATAACTTACCAGCATGATTAATTTTTATTTTAATGTCTGTCTGGTAGATTATTTAAAAACATTAGACACGTATTTTTTTTTTTACGGAAGTGTATAGTTTATAAACAAATAGTTTTTAAGATATATTGATTTGAAATGTCCTATGACGTCACTTTTGAGTACGATTTATGCTCTAAAATTACGTAGCTACCTCCCACTCCTAAACTTTGATTCGTTTTATCTAAGTATTGTTTTCGTATACGACAAAATATAGAAATACGTGTCTAAAATTTTTCTACTACCTAACTGACGGACTAATTACATTTTTAATTTTCATACCCTGTCATCATCCCTATTATTCTTACAATTCTTCTTTTAATTCTAATATTTAACACAAATGTATTCTTGTTTCCAGGATTACGATGATGATGAAGGAGTCATTACTCAAACCAAGAAGTTACGAAAGAGTCAATGTACTATGAAAGCTTTAAGAAATTGGTACAATACTAAATGTATGTCATCACCAAGAAAGAAGAAGTCTCAGCAAACTAGAAGAACTCTGGTTATTATAATCCCTGATTTTGAGAGCTTCAACTGTAATGTTTTACAAGACTTTGTGATGATTGTCAGGTAATTTGACCTTCAATTTCATGTGAAATATATTGTAGTGTAGGTGATCTTTGTAATCATCACTTAGAAAATTGGTAAGGTTCTATTTACTAGAATACTATTTAAAGTGCGTATTATTGTGAGAATATCACAGAAACGTAGTGTTATAGGTATGGTGTTTATTATGAGCTTTTATAACATGGCAAAGTTGATAATTTAAATCAGAAGTTATCTTGGTGACTTACTCAATACGTTAAACATAATTTTCTATATTTACAGTTCTTATGTATCAACAATGCCGATAGTATTCGTGTTCGGAGTGGCGACCTCAGTGTCGGCGTTACACAAGTCATTCCCCTACCACGTGTCGTCTAAACTACTGATCAAAGTGTTTCACTCACATGCATCACCGATTTATATGAATCAAGTAAGTTTTTTTTATTATATTTTACACTAACGACCCGCCTCGGCTGATCGCTCGCATCGGTGTATTAGGCATGTATTATAGATATAAATCTTCCTTAAAAATCACTCTATCTATTAAAACAAAACGCATTAAAATCCGTTGCGTAGTTTTAAAGATCTAAGCATACATAGGGACAAAAAAGACGGCGGATGGCGACTTTGTTTTATACTATGTAGTGATGCTTTTAGTGGCTGCTAGTGCCAGTGGCTTCGCCTGCGTTTCCCTGGGATAAAAAGTACCCTATGTGGCATTCCAGACTATAATCTCTGCAGTCTTTTTGAATAGTCACAAACAAATAAATAAACATACAAACTTTTGCATTTACAATATTAGTAGGCTCCATTCCAATTAGCTAATAATCTTTTTTATAGAATCTGTGTACTTTATTAAATGAGTGAGCAAGTGAGCCTATAAGATAATAGCATGTTCAATGAACCAAACAAACGAATTCTTCAGTTTTATAATATTAGTACATATTTCTTGAATTATTTCATAACTAATGCTTGTTTTTTTTTTAATTTCAGGTGTTAGAGGACATTTTCTTAACACACACAAGTCCTTTCCATTTGTCTGGCAAGGCATTTGAACTGCTCACAGATGTGTTTCTTTTCTACGATTTTTCTGTCACTGGACTCATACAGAGTATTAAGGTATGTACTATATTGTATAAATTAAAGTATTGTTTTTAAGTTATCAATGTATGCTATACTTACTACCTAATTTATATTTTCATGCATACTTTAGGGCTGAGGTTAGTATTATAATTGTGTGTCAATATGTCAGATTCTCTAGCCAGCTAGCCTTTTATTTGATTTAAATCCTTACTAATATTATAAATCGGAAAGGGAGTTTGTTTGTTTGTTCCGCTTTCACGCCGTAACTACTAAACCGATTGCTTTGATTTTTTGCAGACGTTAAGTTCGAAGTCCGGATTAAATAATAGGGTACTTTTTATCCCGGAAAGATTTGATATTCCCGAGGGAAACAAAGTATTGGTATAGATGGCGCTGTGTATTGGTATATGTCACATTGGCTACGTTTTATCTTTTGTGACGCGAGTGAAGCCGCGGGTAAAAGCTAGTTTCCTCTAAATGTTTAGTGATCTAACCGCGACATCTTGGAGGCCATCGTAAACCACACTAAGTAAAACCTTCCTCGAGTAGACGCCTTTGTTTAACAGTAGACGCCTTTGTTCAATATTAGACGTTAATCTTCTTTCTTCTTAGCTCCGGTTATACCATTAAATATAAATATTTCTGGTTCCAGTACTGCATGATGGAGCATTACTACGGCGACAATACAAAGTCACTTTGCTGCGACAGAGACAAACTCGAAGACGTTATAATGCAGCTTACTGCAGAAGATCTCGAAAGCATACGACAGCTAATGTCTTTCCGACCTTTCCTAGAGAAACAGGATTGTAAAACCACGATCAGTCTGTTCAATGACGATGATTTCTTCAAAGAAGCTCTTTACAAGGAGATGAATAGATTGCATGATTATTTATATAGTTTCTATATGTGTTTGAGACTTCTATGTGTGTTCGTAAAGGACTTGCCAAAGAATATGCTTGGGAAATCTGTAAGTGTTGAATTAAATTAGTAGTAGTAATACATATCTGCCTCGTTGGCCGAGTGGTCGCAAGTGCCACTACCGGGCAAGAGGTCTCGGGTTCGATTCCCAGGTCGGGCAAAGTATTACTGGGTTTTTTCAAAAAATCTCAGTAGTAGCACGGAGTCTGGAATTGTGCCCGGTAAATGGGAATAGGCTCTCATCCCCTATTACATGGGACTCATAACATAAATAGTGAAAAGTGGATGTTGCATTGTACAGTGGCATTAAGTGTCGTAATGCACACCTCCGCCTACCCCTTCGGGGATAAAAGGCGTGATGTTATGTTATGTAGTAATTAATATGAATGTATTTATACGTCAATTTTTCCTAGGGCTAATATAGTTAAAGTACATGACATATGTAGCTTTTATTTTTGGTAGTCAAACCAGTCTAATATCTATGGTATAGATGAGATATACAGTATAGAAAGTATGGTAGTAACTTATTTTAGTTTGCAGTTTGCAGTTTAGTTACTCTGGGGAGTTGAAAGGATCGCGTAGTGCCTAATCAACTTCTATAAGTAAATTAATAAGTTTAGTATACAAAACTTTGTTGCCATTTACAATATCAATACAATAGTTCAGTTAAATATAGAAAAATCAAGGTGTTCTAATAAAATTCCTAATGCTGTTTCATTTCAGGTCCGTGAGATATACACTAAATGCGCATCAGAAAATGTAACAGGCACGTCGGCGTTCAAAGATTGCCTGCAGCTATTAAAGTTTCAATCACAAGTGAAGTTGGTTGAGAGTATAAAGAGTGCCTTGAAGATTGTCAACACGTACTTACAAAATGCATCGCCAGTCAAACCGTTGAGGTCTACATCTTCAAAGAACAATCTTAAAAACATAACATTAAGTGATGATCTTGGTGAAAACTTCGTAAAGTCTTTAAGAGTACATTTATTAACGTTTCTAAGGCAAATAGAACATGCCAACACTGAAACGACTGTCACCATGTGTGCAGTGTCAGACACCGAAAATGCAGATGAAAATTTTTCTGGAAATAGGTATAAATTGAAAGAGGTAAGTTTCTTGCATTTCTGTAAAACTTACTCTTGCATTACCTTACCTACTTTTCTATAAAGTTATTGTAGGTACGATAGCTGAGCACAAGACCGCAGTTTTGATTCCTTGTCATATACATGATAAAGTACTGTTTTTAAGCGGACACAGTCAATCCTATGATTTTTTGGATAAAACATTCAAAATTTTTATTTCGAATTTTATTATTTCTAAGTTTTCGAAAAACTCACGAAGGGATAGATTTGGATCAAATCTCGTCAGATCTTTACGAAGAGACACAATACAGTAAAAATACATGCTGCGTCAGGCTCAGGCACCAAAGCATAATTATTTTGCTATTTCTTGCCCACGCGATATGAGTTGGGAAAAGATGTCTGAAAATTAGGTAAACAATCGAATGGCAATACATACTTTAAATGATAGATGTTTTAAGACAGGTCTTAATAAAAAAGGTTCGTATTAGTAATGAAGGCAAATAAGTGGTCCAATCATCTTTAACCTTTGTATGTGAGCACAAAAAAGATGATGATTTCGTTTTCTTTTGGCCGATAGGTCATACGATGTCTTTTTTGTAGAATGTATTGTATAAGGTTAAGTTTATGAATTATATTACTAAACAAGAACTTAGTAGAACTAGTCAGTCAGTCTTTTAGAGATCGATGTATTTATAAGGAATATCTTTTTAATATAGTACCATGATCGGTTTTAGTAATATGGTGATCACTTACCTACACGTAACATCTGGATGTATCATAGTATATTCATATTGAGATAGAAAGAAGTATGACTATACTATACTTATTTTATTTTATTTTTGAAATGATTTTATTTAGCTTGCCTCGTTTTACTGACAGATCGGTCTGATATTATTATATTTTGTTTGTTCCAAAACTACCTTCATTGTGAATATCAAACGAAAGGCTTGATTGATAGAATAGTGTTCATAAAAACAATTTTATGTGTTACTTATTAATTTCAGAAATTATTAAAAGCGACGAGATTGGACCGTGTCCAGTCCGAGTTTGAGATGGTTCGAAGCAGGTTCGTGAGTTACTTGGAAGAGATGTTCAGTAAGGGGCTGCAGCCGATGCAGGGACAACCTTTCCATGAACTGCTGGCCTTCAGTGACGTGGCATCAGTACGGAAGAATATAGTGGGTGCGCCTCGAGCCGCCGTCCACACTGCACTCAGCAATCCTGTACAGTACTTACAGGTCTGTCTCATCAAAAGCTATATTATGTTAACTTGTCTGCCTCAAAAGGCCATCAGACCACCACAGATAGGGCCAGTTGGGCTGTTGCTCGATGCGGAGCTGCGGAAGTCGTAATGGGTTGCCGGCGCTCCGGCTCCAAGAGCAGGAGTAAGAACGACTTGGTTTTTAGTCCATAAGAGTCTGAGACTCTCTCTTGCTTCACCTGAGACGGGAGAAGACAATGGATGATTTTCCCGATAAAAAAAAAAGAAAAAATGTTTAGTGGTCTGTTCTGACATCTGGCGATACCTCCGCAGTAATGTTCAGCTCGCGAACCGTCCGCGCACTACTCGCGTGCTTTTAATTTTTTTTATAGGGTTAAGCCGGTAAACGGTACCACCTGATAGTAAGCAATTGCCATCGCCCATGGACACCTGGAACACCAGAGGCGCTACTAAGTGCGTCAGCGAGCTTTTGAGATTAGGAATTTGAGGATTGTTGGAGATTCAAGAATTGGGGAGAATTGGGCCAACGCAAGCGTTGCTTCACGTCGGTTCTCTGTTAGGCCGTAGTATCACTCCGTCGAGCCGGCCAGTTCGTGCCGAAATATGGCTCTCCCCCACATAAATCATTAAACTCATATCTTCAAGTAGCTACTCTAGCGCGGTTTCACCCGCTACTCAGCTCTTATTGTTCGTAGCATGATGTTTTAAACACACACAAAATGAATTATTTAATTCGGACAAGTAGTTCGAGAGATTAGCGCAATCGAACAAACAACAAACTCTTCAATTTATATAATAGTAAGTATAAGATCAGTGTAGTACCATGATTCCACCTTTCTTTGTTCATCAGTGCTCCTGCTGCCAGTTGCCGTCCACAGACAGTGTCATAGACACACTACCGGACGTATGTTTGGCGTACAAGTTACACCGCGAGTGTGGCAAGCACATCAACCTATACGACTGGCTGCAAGCATTCGCTGCGGTGCTGAGACCTGATGATGACGACGAACAACGACACAATGATCCTACTATACAGTGAGTTTCACTAGATTTTTTAGTTTTTACCAATTCCACATTCATTCAGTACAAACGTTATACCTGTAACAGTAATATTATTTTTATGGGATAAGCCGGTAAACGAGCAGACGGCTCATCTGTTGGTAAGCAATCGGCGTCGCCCATGGGACACCTGGAACCCCAGAGGCGTTACAACTGCTTTGGGGATTAGGAGTTTGAAGATTGTTAGGGATTCAGGGATTGGAGGGATTGGGAGGGGGGGGGGGTAATTGGGCTTCCGGTAACACTCACATGACGAATGAACGAAAAGCATGGTTAAGTGTAACATTTTTCTAGAAACTGCATCAAATCGGTTCAGCCAATCGCGAGATATCGCGCACAAACATACATACAGAGGGCTTAGTACGAGTTAGTTTTACGTTAAAAGTAATTGAAACGAGAACGCGTTCGGCGCTTTGATTGGTTGGTTTATTGGCACCGGCCAATCACATCGCCGAGCGCGTACTGATTTCGAATACTTTAAACGTAAGTCAAACTCGTTCTAAGGCCTCAGGTCAAACTGAGAAACTTTTTTTGAAATATCATGATACCTGACACTACGCCCTGAAGGTCTCAGTCTTCATCACTTCAAAAAAGAAGCTTTTCGAGTATTGGGTACTTGCCTTCATCAAAAATAAATTATTTCGACTGTTCAATACAATAAAATATTAAAAAATACATCACACTTTCATGAATTGATATTATGACCAACTTAATTTTAGTATATTTCCATCACATTTTTAAAAAAATAAGTAGGTATACTGTTTGACGCTAAGAAAATGTGACGTAACGTTATAATACACAATTTCGTACAAATTCATAAAAATTGTAGTTTTTGATAATTCGAAAAAAGTATTGAATTTGACTAGTTGGCAAGTACCCGATTGTTGTTGTTCGCTCTCATCGTGTCACTGTTAAGACATCCAAGGCTGAACATAGGCCTCCCTCTAACTGGGTTTTGAAGCGGTTTGAACCCAGCGGGTTCCTGCAAAATTGGTTGGGTCGTTTGTCGACTATTAAAATCTATAATAAAAACAAGTTACTTAATGTTCAAGGGTAAAAAAACAAATCATTTATGTTAAAAATTACAAATATTTCATTGTACATAAGTCTTCACTACCTTCACCTTCAAACCTCAATATCATTATTTTATTAATTAATTTAATAATATCATTTTTGAATCCACGTTACTTACATTAGTTCATAAAATATGTAAATAAAAAGATTTATATTTCTAGCTTGACTACTAACATACCATTATAATCACGATATTAGTATGTGCTACTTGTATCCATGCGCATTCAAGTTGAAGATGTCACAAATAGACTGTGTTTTTTATACAAAAAGAATCAGTCTACATTTTGCCAGATTACCATACATTTATTTGCATAATCACAGTATCGTTGGACATTATATCAATCGCTTAAATACATTATAATATAGTGGACATAAAACCGCTTTTATTACAAAAAAAAAATATATATTTTGACCTTTATATTAATTGTCGTTTTTTTCTTTTTGGTTACGTTTCTTGATTGGTCGAAAATGAAACTGCAAATCAAGGGGTCACAAATTCGATATTCGTAATGTTTCCTTGTTGTTTCTTATTAGCAGCACGGCTATTATTTAATAAAATAGTTTTAATGACCACTTATCTATCTATTTAACTAAAATAATAATAAGTCTATTTAACCAAATAGATGTTTACTACCTCTACCTACGCCTTTGTAGAATAAATGGTATATTTATGTTATTTTTGTTCAAGGTTACGCTTCACTCGCGCTGTAGCTGAACTTCAATTCCTCGGATTCATAAAGTCATCAAAAAGAAAGACTGACCATGTAATGAGATTGACTTGGTGATTTTACTGTCCTGTCATTTTTTCCTAATTTATTAAACATTTTTTGAAATTATATTTTATTTTTTATTTACACGTGTCATCCATTAGTCTAGTTCCCTTAGTTTTTGTGTGTACGGGTTCAGAACGTACATACGTGAGAGGTCGGCGGTGAGGTCACGTGGCCAGAAAACGTCGACGTTGGGAAAAAACTTGCTAAAACAAATAGAGGTGGTTTTAGCACAGTATTGTGATCAAGCTAAGATGATTCCGTCTTCATAAATATCTAGTATAATAGTATTATATAAGTAACGATTACACAGATAATTTAAGAAAAGGTTCGTTTCGTTTTATCAAAACACTAGCTTTTACCCACGGCTTCGCTGGCATCACAAAAGGATAAAAAAGTAGCCTATATGACATATACCAATACACACAGCGCCATCTATACCAATGCTTTTGTTTTCCCTCGGAAATATCAATTTTATCCACCAAAAGGTAGGCAGAGGTGTACATTACGGCACTTAATGCCACTATACCATGTAACACTCATTTTTTACTTTTTATGGTTTGAGTCCCATGTAATAGGGCGTGAGCCTATTGCCATATACCGGGCACAATTCCAGATTCCATGCTACTACTGAGATTTTTTTTAAAACCCATACTTTGCTCGACCCGAGAATCGAATCCTAGACCCCTTGTCCCGCAGTCGCACTTGCGACCACTTGGCCAACTAGGAAATTTGGATTCATTTTTTTTATGTAAGATAATGTAGATAGGTACTTATCTACTTACCCACTGTCTTCAAGGACAGTTGTCGAAACAAAGTAACATAGTCAAGGCACCGTTAAATGTTCAATACAAATGCAATGATTACATGTTTTTTTTACACAATCATGAAGTTCATGACGCAAAACCTTTAAGTCTAGTAACGACAAACAAGATAGATGTGGTAACAGAGAATATTTTGTTTTACCTATATACCTTGTTTTTGTTCGCACCAAATGAATGTTAACTTTACAGCTGATTTGTTATTATGAGCTGGTATTTTATGGAAGGATTGTTAAGACTTTAAATGCGCCTACATTCTTTAATCATATACATTTTATCGATGGTATGTAAAAGGAGGTTTGCCTAATTGCTAATACAAACAAATCCTTGTTACTACTTACTGACCTTTTATGCAATCGGTTGAATTGAAAACCCAGCTGTTATGCATAGGCATATATAGGCATGGTTCGATTCTGGATTCGGAAAAATTGTGTTAGAACGGATTCTGGGTTGTGCTCGGTGTAGACAGTTAGGAATAGCGTCAATTATTACTTAAATTAATTTTGTTATTTTTGTTCATTTTGTTCACACCTGTTTACCTACCTTTGGGAAATATAAATAGTGATGCGTAAGTGTTTTATTAATAGAATGACCTAGTGTTAGTAAATGTCGCGGAGAACCTAACGGGTTACCGGGGCTCTGGCTCGAAGTGCAGGAGAAGGAACGGGGTCGTTTTAGTCAGTAAGAGTCTGACACTCCCTCCCGCCTCGCCCAGGCGGGAGCAGTCATTCGATGATTTTCCCCCTTAAAAAAAGTGTTAGTAACTACAATGACTAGGTACCTACCTTTATACAATTCAATCAACGAGTGATTAAATAATTTTATTTTTAACAATGACACAAAGTCAGTGTGACTCAAAAGCAGAAATCTTAAAAAAATCACATTCACAGATGATCAAACCTACTGGATATATTTCGTAGAAGTCTGCTATGTTCAAAGTTCAAATATTGCGTAGGGTATTCTAAACGTGTCGATCGCAGACATAAATTTAAATAAACGTAAACATTGGTTAGCTAGTAAGATTGATGTGTAGGTTGTATGACTGTATCCGGGATTTGACTGGTTTCTCAGTTCTCGGACGAACAGAGCTTAAATTATTGACTTGAAGAAGATAACGATGATGTTATTAAGATGGGCTATTTTTTTAAGATTATTCCTTTACACTCCTCTCGCCTACGATACAGGATTGTCCTAGTGCAGGCATTTAACATTGTGAGGACAATTTTACGTATTTACGATATATTTTTGTATTTCGAATATTTGAATTTTGAATAAATGTTTATTTAGTATTAATATAATTATTATACACTAGATTAAGTACGGGTGATATCACAGACATTGGAAGAATTTGTATGCTTCTAATTTCTGTCAAACATATACAATGTAACAAAATTCGGTTATGAAGGAGAATGTTTTCAGTCTCTTTATTTTCAGTAAGAGTGTCGTAGGTAAGCCTGCCTGGCATGCCTACCTGGTATTTAGGAATTCTTAAGCAATAAGGCGAGTAACTATATAACTATTTATGTGTATACAATACAACAGACTCATCTTTCTTCTCCATCCTTATATGAGAATTTTAGAATAGAAACATCAATCTACTCCGCGATCTGATTCTGGCAACTCTTACTTAGCAGTCCTTTGCTTATTAGATGCTTTAATAAGTTATTACCATTTTACTAAAGTAATTTACACTTAGCTTGGTGTTGTATAAAATATTAGAAATTATCATTTGTTTTAGAAACAACCGGTCCTACGTGACTAAAATCTTTAATTTATAATAATGATTCAAACCTGACTACAATTACAAAGGTGCGTTTAGATACACGTGTCAATATAACAAAGACATGTGTAGGTATAAGTGTCATACTGTCATTTAATTGGTAGGTACTTATCACGTTGTTTTCCAGGAATGGGTAGGCAGGCATGGGTTAGGTGTAGGTAGACGATAGATTGGTACTAAAACTACTAGGTACGTAATATGGATAAGTATAACTTGGGTACAGGTAAGGCACAATTTCATTATCATTTACCACTCACGGGACCACAGGATCCCGGTCATTTGAGAGGCGTACGAGGGGCCGAAGCCAACTGTGCAGAGGCCCTTTAGACAACTTTAATATAAATTTAATGGACACACAAACCGGCGACACAAACCGATCCCTGTATGCACTATGGGAATGCACCCAAGGACAGTCCCCGGTTAGTGTAGAACTATTGTGGATAATAGAAAAAATGGTAGGGCTATGGATGGGTTGCTGTGGACTAGTAAATGGGGAACTATGGATGACCTGCCGAAACAATGTAATTATTACACGTAAAAATGGCAGGCAGAGACTCGCCAACTCACCGACCGGGCCCCGGGAATGGTTGCTAGATATAGCAACAGAGGGGCAACGAGAATGTGAGTGGCTGAAGGGTTAAGAAACTACCACCGCTTTCTACTCAGATCATCTGCTCCAGCCGAAGCCTCCTGCATCCCTGGCCCACTCGCGACTTACGAATAGTTTCCTACCCTTAGTTCAAATGTAATCCATTATTATCGTTTAGTCCATCTCCATAATAAAGGATTACATTTCTTCTTACTTACCCTTCAGAGTAAGATAGTAACTTATTAGACAGGCACATCACACAATGGCATGAACGCTAATAGAATAAAAAGTCAATGTGTACGAATACGATAGCAATAAGCTACGATTATTAGACGCTTAAGCTACATTTGTCTAGCCGGGTAGTCGCAGTTCAATTTTTAATTATGAAATCGACTTCTAGACAAAGTTGTTAGAAGCATCGACACTTTTTTTCAATGTGACTGCAAGCTTAACAGTCAGTTTCATGTTTGTTTGCTACTCGGGACTAGCATACAGCCGATGGTACAGAGGCCTTGTTGTTTAATTAGTAGTTAATAAAACACTGACATTAAACACATCCTACTACCTACCAGTGTTGTAAAAAACAAACCGACCTTGAATTATAATTTCACGATATAAAGTATGGATCTGACCTCTGGAAAGGTTAAGAGTACATCACTTTTATTCGTGTCGTGAATACTGCGGGACAAGTTTTAGCCTATTTACACCTGAGTTATTTTCAGATTAATAAAACTAGAATCGGAGAGGTATTTTTTGTCGTCTGACCTTTTCGATATTAATTCGTTGGAAACGTCTGGAGTCGTCTTTTGTTTTATTCCCATTTTTTAGTTATTCGTTTTATTTTAGTTGCTTGTTCCAATTGACTTAGACAGATATTCTCGATACTTCGACTAGATGTCGATTTATAGGTATTTATAGGTAGTTTTAATTTTCAGATTATCACATGGTCACAGCCAAAGTTTTTTTTCTACATGGACTTAGTGGCAATATTAATTTTTTTGTTAAGTGCTCCTAAAAGCGATTGCTGAGCAAAATATGTCGGCTTCAGTGCCTAAACCTAATATCTACAGTTGGTACAGTATAAAAAGTCTATGCTTTACCGCTTTACTGTTGACAGTAACAAAGCTGAAGATATAATTATTTTTCTTTATAAACTACGTTTAAAAAAACCGACATCAACCCCCTCTTTTCAAAGTCGGTTAAATAATATACTAAAACCTTCTCCTAAGTGTGAGAAACACTTTTAGAAAACCGTATCAAAATCGGTTCAGTCAAACGTGAGATAATCGCGCACGAGCATTCATACAGGTCAAACTGAGAACCTCTTTTTTACACATAACATAACATCACGCCTTTTATCCCCGGAGAGGCAGGCAGATGTGCACGTTACGGCACTTAATACAGTGGTATTACAGTGGTACAATGTTACACCCACTTTTCACTATTTATGTTATGATGAGTTCCATGTAATAGGGGGTAAGCCTATTGCCATATACCGGGCACAGTTCTAGACTCCGTGCTACTACTGAGTTTTTCTTAAAACTCGGTGATAGTGATACTTTGCCCGACCCGGGAATCGAACCCGAAACCCGTGTCCGGCAGTCGCACTTGCCACCACTGGGCTAACGAGGCAGTCTTTTTTTGAAGTTGCTTAACAAGCTTAAAAAGTAAGCGGACGCTGTGACTGAAGAAATGTAACAGCATTACGTCCTAATATCCCGATAGTGTTTTGTAAGAAGATGGTAGTTCCCCACTGAAGCCCGTCCATTCAAGTTATATTAAATTACACTCTCCACAGTCTGTATTCTAATTTAAATTCATTTATTCACATTTAAACTGTCAAACACCAAGCGGTCACCTGTGACCGCAACCTATTGTTCTATAATTGTGTCTACAAAACCGGTACTCGACGAGTTAAATAGAGTTATTACATTTGACGCTTTTCATGTTACAAAATATGTAGAATAATATTAAGAATGTAACATTCTTTGTTTTATAGTCTATTTAGCCTGCTTAAGGGATGTGAAGTTAAGCTTAGGTACATTTAAATAGAAAAGGAATAGTTGTACATAATTGTAACCAATAATAATCCAATTAAATTCAAATCGAAATTTAATACAAATATAAAGCTAGATATTTTATCTTGCTTAACAATGTTAATTATATACTCTGTGGTCAAATGCTATATCTATACTATATGAAATAAGTACAATGAGGGCCGATTTTTCAATCATCAGTTAATTCTTACCTGTAGAATAAAATTGACATTTGACAATTTCTAGTATGGAAGAATCTCGGAACAATAACTAGGCATGGAAGCCAGGCTAAAATAGTAATTTACAAACGTATATCTGATGCTCTCGCTCTTTACACAATTTTGCGTAGGCGAGAATGAGACCGCAAACTAAACATAGTTCTATAATAATTTGCAGGTTGTCACAACTTTCAGTGGACTCATTACAATCTTATGTCATTGGACTTATTCAGCATACTACCAAATTCAAAATCACGTTTTGACGTTCTATGTTTCACAGTTTCACTCAAGTTTGACACCTTCCTCACTTTGCCGGATTATAGTACTGAAGTGTCACCGTGGTTGTATTTACGGCTCCTGATTATAAAAAATGTTTTTTATGGAATTAGCGCAAAAGAAAGGAAGAAAGGAAGTGTATGGTCGTTCTTTATTATGTGTTTTCCTTAATAAAAATACGTCTTGTGTGATTGACGGCTGCAATTCACATTTAGGAAGAAAAGAAAACAGTGGTGAAAAAATACACTTTCATTCGTAAGTTTTTGATATGTTTTAAAATAAATTATATTGGAAATACCGGTAAACTATAAATAAATGTTACTTATTTATTGTCGTACTTTTCAATTGTAAGCCTAAACAGTATTATTCCATCTTTTCCTAAAAAATCTAAATCAATTTTCTAAGTCAGTTTTTAAGCTAGTGATGTGGTCATGTTACATATCGATATTTTAGTTAGGCTTTGAAGTTCTTTATAGTATAGACGTCGTTTAGAACCCGAATCACATGATACCTTTGATGATTTGACAGACCACGACTACATTTTGTACCCATCATCTATTACGGAATATTCTAAAAATGTCATAGAATACATAATCGGCTTTATTGGAAAGAAATTAAAAAATCTTTACAATGCGAAAAATGCATAGAAAGTCTTGAAAACACGGAGAGTATTCCTTAAAGATCTTTGATATCTTTAAATATAGAGGTAGAAGAGGCCTATTTAAACCAACATATGGCTTAACCAAGATCTGTCAGCTGACCGAAAAAATTATAAGAGAATATCAAGTGCATATTGATTCAAAATCTCTCGGTAAACCAAAATAATTATTAGATTGATTAATAAAGTTTCAGCAAATGTGTTGCCGTCAGAAAATTTTCGAGAAAAAAAAGATTATTCATTAGAACAATCTTTCTATGTTGATCACAGAAATCTTATAAAGTCCATAGCACAAAAATATTTTAAACTTAGGATACATTTTAACAAAGACAATTATATTTAAAAGTCAATGATAAACACATAATAGTGCACCACTACCACGGTTTGTAAATATGCTTTGTTTGTGAGCAATTAAATTATCTTTTTAATATTGTGTTTTATTTTTGAACCCACGACATCCAGATTAAGAACCTAATGTACGTTAGACCACAGCAGCAAAACTTTCAGGTACCATAATTTATCGATAAAATATATTAATTTATTCCCATCACTAGCATATTTACAAGTAGTGACAACCTGCATAATAACGAAACGAAACAATACACATATCTCTTTCTTATACACTATCAATACCATAAGTAAAAAAAAGATGAATATATGGAGTGTAGTTGTTATTTTAGCCTGGCTTCCATGCTTTAGTTATTGTTCCGAGGGAAGAATAGTCAAATATTCAAAGTTATTCCTCAGTTAAAATTTATGTCAGCATTGAAAAATTGGCC